TGAACATTTTAAAAATATAATTTAGTTTATTTAAGTAAATTATATAGCTTTACTAATTACGATTTTATATATATATATATATATATATATATATTATATATATACTAATTATATATATAAATATATATTTATAACATATGCTTAAATGGTAAATACTTTTTCTTAAAGATTCTGCGATAACCACTTCTCCATCAGAAGACGAAGAAGATAATGCAGAGTTTTATGATGCTCAAGAGTCGGATACATTTACACTGACTATTCCAGGAGTAGCCTCAACTAATTCAATATCTCACCCAAGGGATCGTACTGATTCTCAAGGAAGTGATGATGGCTCTAGCTCTGAAGGTGATCCAACACCTTTGCCAGTTTCTGATTCTGCTGGAGCAGAGTCATTTCTTATTGTGACCGATTCTACAGTAGTACAACCTTCTTCTCCTATTACAAATACAGACGAGCTGGATAATGTAACTATTCAAAATAATATATGATTAAAATGTTTAAAGTATATAAAATTTTTTTTAATATATAGACGGCTTGGCAAACCAACAATGGCGGCGGCAGTGGCACCGGGTTAGCAACTACACCTAATAGAAAAAGAAGAACTAGAGTACCTGATAAACCTAATTATCCTTTAAACCTATGGAGTATTATGAAAAATTGTATCGGTAAAGATTTATCAAAAATTCCTATGCCTGTTAATTTCTCAGAACCGCTTAGTATGCTTCAGAGGCTTACAGAAGATTATGAGTATGCAGAGATTCTAGATAGGTACATCATATATTTATTTAATTTTTTTTTCCTGCAATTAAGCAATAAATTATTCAGTTAAATGTTCTAAAGATTTAATAATTATTAACAGTTGAAAATAATGTTCGTGTTTACAGAGCAGCAGAATGTACCGACAGCTACGAACAAATGGCCTATGTAGCTGCATTTACTATCTCTAGTTATTCTACAACTGCCAGTAGAACAGGCAAACCTTTTAATCCATTATTAGGTGAAACGTATGAATGCGATCGCACAGATGATCTCGGTTGGCGAGCGATTTCTGAACAAGTTTCTCATCATCCTCCGATGTTAGCTCAACATTGCGAAGGTAGGAAATGGCGTTGCTGGCAGGAATTCACCATGGCTTCTAAATTTCGCGGAAAGTATCTTCAGGTAAATAGGTTTATTACATATCTGTTTTATTTTTCAAAGTTAAAGGATTCCTTTTTCTACATCTACATATTCTACAGGTAATTCCTTTGGGTACTGCTCATTTAGAATTTAATGCAGAACGACAACATTATACATGGCGTAAAGTAACAACCACTGTACACAATATAATAGTTGGAAAATTATGGGTTGATCAAAGTGGTGATATGGATATTGTGAATCATAAAGACGGTATCAAGTGCCATCTAAAATATATACCATATTCATATTTTTCAAGAGATAATCAACGTAAAGTTAAAGGCGTTGTTATGAATTCAAATAAAGAGGTGAAATGGGTGGTTCAAGGTACGTGGGATTCAAAGATTGAAATTGCTCCTGTCATTAGTACATCGGGAGCTCCAGACAACCCTGTTTATAAAACAGGGCCATACATATTAGCTTGGAAACGACGTATGCCTCCGTAAGTATTGAAAAATGTAATCGTTTGTATCTATTGTATTAATAGATAATATTTTTTATATTAAACATCCATTTTTGTAATTTTATTATGACAGTGAGGATTGCGAAAGGTATTACTCATTCACGGAACTGGCCTGTCAGCTTAACGAGCCAGAAGATGGCACAGCTCCTACAGATTCCCGATTAAGACCTGACCAGAGATTAATGGAAGATGGACAATGGGATGAAGCTAATGCAGAAAAACTTCGACTTGAAGAGAAACAGAGGGCTGCGCGGCGTTATCGTGAACATGAAGCAGAACAAGCTACTGCACAAGGTATAGAGACATCATACAATTGTTTTCAAAAATCTAATGAATTAATATTATTTAATCCAGAGTGTTTGTTTTATAGGTTTACCTTATGAAACTTGGGAACCGTTATGGTTTAAGAAACAGCAGGATCCATACACAGATAGTCTTTGCTACATGTATAGTGAACAATATTGGGAGTGTAAGAACAAAGGCGATTGGTCGAGATGTCCAAACATATTTTAGTCTGTAATATATCAGTTTACAATCTGACCGCCCATTTATAGTAAAGAAAAGTTTGGATCTTTTAACGTGAAGATAACTAGCAGTAGATATCACGGACGCGAAGAGTAATGTTCATAAATATGCTGAACGTGATATTGGGATTGTTATTGGGTGTGGTATAGTCTTTACTTCTTCCAATGAAGTGAACAAAAGTTGACGCTTGCGAATATGACATATATATCGTACGTTTTGTACTTTTGTGTCATGACCGTGCTGCTACCTGCCTTTCCTATTTTTTTCTTCCTCAACTATATGTCCTTCCTATTATCTCGCTAATTTGATCGGTCGTTGTAAAATTTTACGAAGCAATCGTCGTCCATATTGCGTGATTTTTTAAAACGAGTTCTTCGAATCTCATTGCTGAAATCTATTCGATGAGCAAGCATTTTTTAATCTTTAAAAATGTCACCAGTAAAAAACATCGTGATTATTTGTAAAACACTTACATATATTATTTTATTGTATAATTAGAATAGCAATTTTCCAGTAGTAAATTTACTAACGACTGTTCGTACCGTTCTCACAGAAAATTAACAATTTGGATTCATGTAATTCAGTATTAGCAATGCATCATAGAGACATTGAAATATCATGTGGGTTTCCTATTTTTATTAACTTTATTATATTTAAGCTTTCACAAAATTCTATCATATTATAGGAATGTAATTTCTTGATATATTTTATTACATATACATCGCGGAAAGTACTTATGCAGACTATGAAACGTATGTCATGTGCTTCACGCGATGATGTGATATTTGCAAATGAATAAAAGAAAGAATTCAAATTGTGAAAGCGTTGCTGCATATATTTTAAGCGAGATGGTGCCCTCATTTGGCTCTATTGAAACCTCTACTAAAAAATAAAAATAATGAAGAAAAAAAAAATTATATATATATATATATATATATATATATATATATATACCAAGAAAAATGAATCAAAAAGAAATGTTGCTTTTACATCTTTGCGTTCGTCTGACTGCCACGTTTCAAATCTTTACGCGGATAAATAAGGGGTGACATTAATAACCACTTCAATTCGTGTGATTTGAAGAAACGTTCCTGAATGTGCCACTAGAATCTGTGTTGTAGTCGTAGAAGTGCTAAAATGGGCTTAACTCGGAAAATACATTGGGTGACTCGTGATAAGTTTAAACATATAAAAAACAGATTCGGTGGGCAAACGAGTGAAACTTTGAAGCTTCCAAATTCACGGTGCCCGCACGCCTAATGAACATTCTAAAATATTGAGAAGGCGTGTCATTGACTGAGCCGATACAAGCCCATTATGTCGAGGCAACGATTACGGGTTTATAAACTGGAATCGAACCCAAGAAAGGAAGCATATTCAAAAAAGCGGTCTTAAGAGATTATAAGTTCCAAACAATTTGCAGAAAATAAGATATTAAACTATAAACACAACATTCGTCACTACTACGGATTCTTTCCAAACTATGATATAATAATAATAATAATAATAATAATAATAATAATAATAATAATAATAATAATATATATATATATAAATTATATATATATATAAACATGTAAAATACTAAGTAAATATATATGTTTTCTTATATATATATAAAGAAAATTATCGCACGCACACATTCATACACAGGCATACGCGAGCGATTTATCCGCGTAAGTTGTGCATATGTATGTATGTATGTATGTCCGTATGTACATATAACAGTTAATAAAACTTATTATATATCCCTCTATACAAGAAGCATATCGGTTGTTTCGTTCTTAGTGTGTGATCGCCAAGCCGATTGTCAAACTACACGACTAACCCGCTTGCAGCCAATATTTAAAATTATTGTTATTTTAAGTCTGGCTGTATCATACTTTTAATAGTTAAAATAATATTCTGAGAAAAATGATATATCTGTATACATATAAATATAAATTAGTTATAAAATAAAAAATTTAAAAGAAGAAACAAATTAAAAACCTATGACGATAAGCCGAATAGAAAAAAAATGTTTGGATTATAGTGCTTGTACATTAGTCAATCGTGTGGAACGACAAATACAAAATGCTTCGCTACAAAACAATAATTTTGTAGCATTTGGATTACACCTCGCATTTCCCATTTGTTTTCCTTAATCTTTAAGATATATGCAAATTTTTCAATTGGAAATTGTTTATTTAAAATATTTCAGAAACAGATCATAGCAACATGCCCTTTTCTCTAAATTCGATGAACCGTGTATTAACGATTGATTATGTCTATACATAAATGTACATATATATCTATATAGACACAATGTACATACATTTGACTTTGATGTACGTCAATGAATTTTAGGAAGAATGACACGAATGCCATCTACTTCACGTTTCGAATTTCGCGGGGTTATAGTTATAAGCAATTCTGATATGCAAGAAAAATATTTTCAATGGTTGGAGGAATAATTATATTGCATAGTAAATCAAACGCATATTTTAGTATATTTAAATAAATGCGTACAATAGTGAAATGTGAGACAAAATGCAAATACACGAGTGCCATCTATCGAGCATTCACGCATACATACTTCTCATAAAAAAGATTTATAACGATTATCGACAAAAAACATGGAGAATCAGAGAGAAGAAGAAGAAAAGAATGTCTCTATTAAAAATCAGGATTTAATCGAGAGGATCATCGTTGTAAGAAACGAATCAATGTAGAGAAAATTAGTTTTTTTTGCCTTTTGGACGATAGTTCATCTGTGAGCCTTGATGAGGGCGCTGCTAACAGTGACGTCACGCGTAATGATACACGGGCTTCAACATGCGCCATGCGACAGAGCGTCTTGCGGAGTCTGCGCGAGTTGGGAACTGCTTTCGATTGTTGGCGGGCGCCGCCATCTTGGTCAGTGAGCTTGCGAGTGGCTGTGCGAGGAGGTGTACGTATTTCGGTGAAACAAGCAATTCGTGAGATTTCCCTGAAAGCCCTTGACTACTCGTGAAATCCACACGCATCCAAGATGTCGGAACGGGAGGACAATGTTTACAAGGCGAAACTAGCCGAACAAGCCGAACGCTATGACGGTGAGTGGATATTTTTCTGGGTAAGGGAGCCGGCCTGGGTCAAAATGGAAATCGACAAAATCGGTAGGAGAGTGGGACTGCTCGGCTCTCCTACATTAAACCCGCCCATTCAACCGTTTACCTCTTATTCTCTTTCTCTCTGATTATGAATCTCCTCTTTTCCATAAATTCGATAAATGAAGTCGGAACGAGATTTCCGAGGAAACATATAATCGCTATGAACCTCGCGAGATCTGTCAAAAGTCGCGGAAGAAACGTCAAGCGTGAGACTATCGTTGCCCGGTTCATAAAAAAGAAGCCGGCGAGCTATGAAATTTTTTTTTCTTTCGATGGCTCATGTCATTTCTCATTCTTGACGATAGCGGGGAAGCTTGTTCAGGAATATCGACGATCCTGCGGCTCTCCCTTTTTCTCCTCCCCCTTCTCTCTCTCTTTCTCCTCTCTCTTTTTCGCTCTCTCTCTATTCTTCTTTACCTTTCTCTACTTCTTTCTTTCTTTCCTTCCTTCTCTCTCTTTCTCTCACACACGCTCGTTTGCTCGCTCGCTCGTTCGTTCGTTCGCTCGCTCGCTCGCTCGCGACGTCGTCAGCGCTGGAGCAACGGCGAGGTAGCGTTGCTAGGCGTACTGTGTTCGGCACTTTGAGGGGCCTCATCGTCCAGATAACCAGACAAGTCGGTCCTTCACCGTACAGCGTGACGCATAGATCGACAACGGAGAAGTTAAGATTCGCTTTAAAAAGCCGCGATGCCGGCTTTTACTACGACGGACACACGTAGTAACGCGTGTACCGCTCGTGGCATTTGGCCTTGAAGAACACAGAGAAATCGTACAACCAATCGACGGGACCGGCTCGACCTTCGGCCTTCTCTTCTGTGCTCTCTTCTCTCGCTTTCTCTCTCTCTCTCTCTCTCTCTCTCTCTCTCTCTCTCTCTCTCTCTCTCTCTCTCTCTCTCTCTGTGTCTCTCTCTCTCTCCCTTTTTTACCTACCTACCTACCTATCCAGAAATTCTCCTGCTTTCCTTTCCGGCGACCCTTTGCCTTTTTCCTCACACAGTTGCTCTTCTCTCTGCTATCTTCGTCCTCCTAAAATATTTGAAAATGGCGTAGGTGTCCTTCTCTAAGTAAGGGCGGAGGAGGAGGAGAAGAAATAACTTCGTTTCTCGTTACTAGTCGCGCTTGATACTTTTACTTCCATTCACGACGTACGACATATGTCCTATGCTATGTATGCTATTGTGAATGTACGCGTTTATAATATTGGTGACTATATACATATATTTATGTATATGCACTATATACTATATATATAGTTTAGTTCATGGATAGACATATATATATATAAAATCCAGTATACACCTATATACATATTATTCGCACGAATGCTGGACTTGGAGCTTGATAGAAAGTTCAAAGGAAAGTTCTGCTAAGTACGTTAGCGCCGTACTTTCTTCATCTTTTCCATGAGCGAACGCGTTTATGTATGTAAAGGTTCCTTGGTAGAAACGTCGTAGGAATGGCAAGCGCGAGTCAAACGCCTCCTGCTTAGTCACTCATCGATCGTGCGTGGAATGGGATAGGTTAGGATGGTAGGAGGAAGGGCGGGAGGGAGGGGAATTGCTGCTGCTAATGATCCTAAGGGGGCTAATGCTTCTCGCGTGATATCTATATATCGACAAGTAGAATAAGAAGAATGATAGATGGTAAAGAGTAACGAGAGATAAAAATACAAAAAAAAAGGAGAAAAAAAGAGAAAGAAAAAAAATCTAAGTAAAAAAGATCACACATACTGATATTCTGCATTGGATAAATATTATTCATTCGTCATTGGTTGATTGGCTCTCTTGTCAATGTATGAACCTAAGATATATCGTAGGAATAAAATTTGTGATATTGACCTGTCTCTGGGTATTATGCTTGTAAAGAATAACATGAAGAGAGAAGATGAAACAAAACGTTCAAAAGAGAGGAGACGAAGGAATCGAAGGAGCCCGACATATGATACTTTTTCTTTATCTTTTCCTTTCGAGCGAGGAAAAAGGAAAGAGAGAGAAGGGTAAATCCGAGGGTTGCGGGAGTAAGAGAGAAAGGAGAGAAAAAAAAAGAGAATGGGTGAGAGAACTGTTAGAGCGGAGCTAAAGTTGAGGGGTAGTCACGAGCGTTGAGCGAAAGAGGCAGAGGGCGACCACGGCCGAAGGAAAGTATTGATCTGCTGCGCCCGCTACCTTACGTTTCCGTATATCTCGGCCGGTATACTTCGTTCCTCGTAATTCCGTCACTAACGATTCCGATATACTTTTTCGTGAATTTCTTCTCTTTTTTACCTTTATCTTTTATATGTATATATATAATATTATATATATATATATATATAATTACACTGTTTCTTTTTTTTTTCTTGAGAATGATTTTATAATATTCGATTTACATACATATATAGCTTAAAAAGATTTATTAAATGAATTCTCGTCTTAAATATTATTTCAAATGTATTTATCTTTATCGTCTGATGTATCGTACCATTTCGAATCTATCATGTTAAAGATGCGACAAAAAGAGAGAGAGAGAGAGAGAGAGACATTTTTTTTATAACTCCTTTAAAATTGAAATAATCTGAAAATGATTGAAAATATACGAACGGGAGGAGATGCTATCTATCGAGGATAACATCGAATTTGGTTCGATAATACGTGATAAAGGTAACGCGTGATACATAACGTGTGATTCTTTAAGACGTATATCATTTACATTCGATTTTCAGTTTTCGAAAGGATTGAATGATATAACAAAAGATAACGACGACGTATTACATTTTTTTGGAAGGTTATCACGACAAGAAAGTTGTATTAAACCACTTCGGGAAAGATCGGACATCGTTGAAACTGTAAACTCGTTATTACTTTTAAAATATGTATCTTATCGTGGTTTTATTTATTACTTTCTTTTTTCTTTTATTATTTTCTTTTTGAATTTTTCTCTGTTCCTTTCTTTCATTTTTTTTCTTTTTATGCTGATCGTTCTCGTTAAAACGTTATAAAACGGAGAACATTACGTCAAACGAATGGTATGGAAATTTGAAATACTATGTACGATTCATGGTCAATACTCGTATGTACCATTCGACATTTTAATTTTCTTTTACATGGTTATTATTATTAAAAAATACACAAAACTCTTTTATGGCCATTGATATCGAACGCGGATGTCCAATATATTTTGATATTCGGAATATATTTAATTGTCGAAAAGTTTATTGATTTTTCGTGATAAAATAAAATAAAATAAAATAAAATACGAATTAAATATACAAATAAAATTTCGTACGAGTTTAAAGAAGTTGTAACTTATTATTGATCGACAATGATAACGCCTTTTCATGATTTTTATTCTCGTTCTCTGTAAGTTCATTAATCATTTATGAATATGATAAAAGGGGAAAAAAAGAGGAAAAAAAAGAAAAAGGAAAAAAAAAACAGAAAAGGAAGAGAAAGAAAAATGTTGCTTGGGGATTCTACGATCAAAACCTTTTTAATATAACGATGAAGCAAGGAAAAAGAAGAGGATGAAGAAGAAGAAGAAAGAAGGCGCGTCCTGTGGCAGCAAGGCGCCGCCATAGGTAATGTGTTGCTTTTTCTACCGAGCTATCGATCCTTGGAGGGAGAGCTGCGCCGAATTTCGACTGTGGTGGTCGCGCGTAAGCGTCAGAAACTCCTCTCGTACGAGCCCGAACGTGTGCGGCCATTGCCAGCTTCCATCATAGCACCAATCAAAATGTTTCTTTCTCTTGAACTGTCGTTCTTTATTCTTCTTTTTTTTTCTTTTCTTTTTTTTTTCTCCTCACTTCCCACTTAACACCGATTGATGGATAAGAGTAAGGGGGGGGAGAGAGAACAATTTTTCCTTGTTTCATTCCAATTGAAAAAATGAATTGTGCATTCCCCTCCCCCTCGATTATTCTTGCTTTTTTGCTCTTTGATAAACGTAACTGAGATTTCAAAGCACGTTATATTCGAGGTTTTTTTTTTTTTTTTTTTTTTTTTTAATGGAGATTTTCTCCATTAAAAACAGAAAAAAGCATGCATTTTATTGTGTATATAAAGTTGTTCAAATAAATATGTTACTTTTTTTTTTTTTTTTTTTTTTTTTTTTTTTTTTTTTTTTTTTTTTTTTTTTTTTTTTTTTTTTTTTTTGTACAAACTTCTCGAATGTACGTAAAAATACAGGTTTACATAAAATTCTTAGATTCTTTTATTACTCTCTGATTTACCCTATATACAGAATGAATCACTTGTTCACGTCATTATCTCGCTCTCAAGCAAAAAAGAAACTCTAAGAACGGTTGCACACTTATACAACACTCATTTAGTAGTATACCTTCATTGTTATATCTTCTCTAATCCATTGAAACATTGACTTCCAACAAGTGACTCACTCTGTGTTTTACTCAATTCTGTTGTATTATCAATGAAAGGGACGTTGGAAGAAAGTACAGGTGTATTAAAGATAATGGTTATCTAGAAAAATACGTATGCGTTAGATTGGTAAGCGTTGGTAAACGATCATAGATCACTATTCTGACACATATATACATATATATGTAAGAATTTTATGGATTTAGCAGGCTTAATTCCATAAATTAACGATTAAAGCTTTGAACAAATATGTAATAATTTGGATTCGGAATTCGTTTCAATAGGCATATACTGCTTTTAATTCAATAATCTTTTAATGGAGCTGCTAAGCAAAGCAAAAAAAAAGAAATAGGAATGCATATTAATACATTTGCAATTCGTATTTGGTATATTACGAGTATAATAAAAAAACTTTCTAAAGTTAACAAGATTGATTATTTCAGTAACGTATATATATATTATATATTATATATTATATATTATATATATATTATATATTATAATATGTATATTATATTTTATATATATATATACACACGTGAGCGTATATTTGCATGTTTCTTCTTTTCGTATGTCATACCGTGATATGAGTATGATTCGAAAAATCTTTTGAACGCCGTAATATATATAGCTCATTTTGTTTCCTTTTGTATAATTTATAATTTGATTTCTTTGTCATTGCCATTACGACTCGATATTACTAAAATTGTTAAATAATTAATGATGTTAAGGCGACGTATTCCTGAACGATATTATACGTAACAAAAGGCATTCCGTCGTGACGATAAGTGTGAAAATATGATGACAGAGTTTGATCGCTTTGTAAAATTCTTTTTATTTATTAATTTAATAAACCATGCGATCATTTGTTTGCTTGAAATCTTAATTTAGAATGTAAAGTAAAAATCCTTGTTCATATGATACGTGAATATAAGAGGAAATTTGAAAAAAGTCGTTTATGTAAGGCTACGATAAATAAAAGTATCTAAGTATATCGTTCGCGCATGATCAGTGATATAATACCTGAATAGCGAGAGCACCTTTACGAAGTTCAAGGGTCAGCGGGTTAATATATGTCAGCGTACCTTTCCTACGCGATAACTTTTCTCATACGGAATTGAGCTGTGCTAAAAGTTAAATAAAGTATACGACAATTTCTGATATTGTTTTCGATTCTTCCATCTGAGCTTATTCGATCGTATGGAAGAATTGAATATTGAGAGTTACAGGAACGTTCTCGAATTGCATGAAAAGAACGTGAGGACGACAAGGAACTACTTTGATTGAAGTTACATAGGCGGAAGCATATTTATGACCTTGAATAAAGTCGGAGAACCGTTTAAAACGCAAATTATCCGAATCCTTCGGTACAGTCTTTCCTCGGAACGAGGTCAATTATGATCCATCAAGAAGATTGTTAATTTTATATTAACGATAATTATTATATAAAATATTATAGCGAACGATGTTGCCAACTAAAATAGCAATGTATGTAGATAGGCATAGAAAGATTCAATATCTTAAATTATAGGTTTATTATGAATATTTGCTTTTTTTTTTTTTTTTTTCCCTCCAAAAAAAAAGAGTACGAGAAGATAAATTATAATGACGACAACATGTTGTCTTCGAAGTTAACGGTATCATCGTTGACGACAATGTTTGCCGGTCGTATTTTGCAGAAATGGTTGAAGCGATGAAGAAGGTGGCCTCGCTGGACGTAGAACTCACCGTTGAGGAAAGGAATCTACTATCCGTCGCGTATAAAAATGTGATCGGTGCGAGGAGGGCATCATGGAGAATAATATCGAGTATCGAACAGAAGGAGGAGAACAAAGGTGCCGAGGGTAAGCTGGAGATGATCCGTCAGTACCGATCTCAAGTGGAGAAAGAGCTCAGGGATATTTGTGCTGATATACTGGGTGTCTTGGACAAACATTTGATACCATGTGCTTCGACTGGAGAGTCGAAAGTATTTTATTACAAAATGTAAGAAAATGCATTATACGATTATGCAGGATGTGTCACGTGATTTTCGTTGATATTGCAGTATTGATAATAATCATCTTATAATAATATCAGTTAATAATAATTAGCTTCGACGAATGCTCTATTTTTTAAAATGTTCGGGGTTTTTTTTTTTTTTTTTTTTTTTTTTTTTTTTTTTTTTTTTTTTTATAATCGACGTCCTAACCTAACAGATCGTCGATCAACTCATAAGTCACGTGACCTACCTAATACGTTCGGTTTATTCCGTACACGATCTGTCAAATGACTTATTACAAGTGTGCATTTGCACCTGTATTTTCAGTAATAAAATCAACAAATCGTCAATTTAATAAAGACAAATCTAGATAAAATATTGACAATACATTTATATTTCGATAAAACAATTTTTCGAAACATACCAGATAATTACTGTTTTTATTTTCTCTTTATTTTTTCTTTCTTTTTTTTTTCTTCTTTTCTTTCATTTTTTTTCTTTCTTTTTTTTTCTTTTTTTTTTTTTTTTTGATATCTCTATTAATTAGCAAGATATACGACGCGTAACGAATCACGTGACGCATACTGTACATCGATCTTCTTTAATTCCTCACATTATACCATCGACGGTACTTTCTAACCGAAAGATATTTTTTCGTTCCGCACAGGAAGGGAGATTATCATCGTTACCTGGCCGAATTTGCAATTGGCAACGACAGGAAGGAGGCTGCAGAGAACTCTCTAGTAGCGTACAAAGCAGCAAGCGACATTGCAATGACCGAGCTACCACCGACTCATCCCATTCGTTTGGGATTAGCGCTTAATTTCTCCGTCTTCTATTACGAGATTTTGAACAGTCCTGATAGGGCGTGTCGCTTAGCGAAGGCTGCCTTTGATGACGCGATCGCAGAATTGGATACTCTGTCTGAGGAAAGCTATAAAGATTCCACCTTAATTATGCAGCTCCTTAGGGACAACCTCACGCTTTGGACGTCGGATATGCAAGGGGATGGTTAGTATATTTCAGATAATGATCGATTTAAGGATTATCTATTAACTCGTTTAATGCCCTGGGGTTCACCGATAATTTTTAATTACACCATGGGATTCACCTGCAACTATTAATGACATCATGGGATTCACCTGTAATTGTTAATAACACCATGGGGTTCATTGTGACCGACAATGTTATAAGGAAAGTAATAAGAACGATTATACAATATTTCGACGCTATGAGCAAGTTATATGAAATTATCCCGGCATTCAACCGCGTTTCATGCTATTTCGAAAGTTTTTGAGAATTTTCGTTTGAAAAAAAAAAGAAAAAAAATATATATATATAAATGTCTATCGTTGAAAATATTCAAAAGGAGCGTCATCTAGATCTCGTGTTTTTTATCTTTTTAGATATCTAATACAAATGTATAAAAAGTTTGTTGACCTTTTTAGGATAATAAACAAATAATTCACGGTCCAATAAAAGTCCATTGTGAGATCTGTGCGGTACTAAGCGTGTTAAAATTAATCGTATTTCTTTGATTTACAAAATAAGACGAAAGTTTAAGTTTTCGCGAGTAAAACATATCGCTAATTTTTCTTATTTCTCGTTTGCAGGCGAAGGAGAGCAAAAGGAGCAGCTGCAGGATGTGGAAGATCAGGACGTATCGTAACTCTAGCCTTAGTGAGTGATGTCTTGCGCATATAAAACTGAGACACATGAAAAAAAAAAGCAAAAAAACTCTTAATAACTCGTAAGCAAAAAAAAAAACAATTCAAGCAGGTGACAGTTTGAAGTGGGAAGGGGAGATCTTTAGCGATCGCGTGACCTTAAGCACGCGCAACGTATGGTTACTCAAAAAGAAAATGAAAAAAATAATCGTATCATTCGATCCACACAAACACGTAAACACACACGGACTCTCACGTACATACATACGTACATAAACATATACATATACACATACAGACGCGCGTACATACATCGAGTTACGGTGCACATCAGAATTGTTGAAGCTATAAAAAAGAAAAGAAAAAAAAGAGAGTAAAGACAGACACCTTTGGGTTTACCACCGAGACTGGAAAGCATGTTTGGAAGAAAAAAAAAAAGAGAAAAAAACAGGGAGAGAAAGGAAGAAGGGAAAGCATAGTAGGTGGGTGTGATTGCACGTGCGTGGGCGTGTGTATGTATGTTTGTATGTAAGTATGTATGCATGCATGCATGTGAGAAAGACAGAAAGAAAGAAAAAAAGGAAAGAGAGGGAGAGGAAAAGAAACATTGAGAAAAGTATACGGTTTTTATGAGATCCGTAAACGATCAAAATTAGCGTGATTTACGACGAAAAATATCGTTGACAAGCGCGATTTCGGCAAACAAATTGAGCTAATATAAATCATAATTAATTAAAGGTGATAAAAATGTTCAAATGAAAGTGCGTGCGCGTGTTGTTGGTCCTGTACGGTCGTAATATGTACGGCTCGTTCTAGCAGTATTCATACAGCGAGCAAGCGCCTCAGGAGAAGAAGATAATGAAGAAGACGAAGAGGAAGATGATGATGAAGAAAAAGAAGAGGAAGAAAAGAGATAAAGATGGAAAAGATCCGTGTCCCCACAACTTCCATTGTGTATACCGTACGCATTTTACAATAGAAAACAAACAAACGTCAATCGAGCCTACGATGTGTGTTCGATTGTTCGTTCGTTCATTCGTATTACCCGGCCCCTAATCTCCTCCTCGTCCTTCTCCTCCTTCCCTGCTTTTTTACTGCGCGCATGATCGTCTCGCATGCCACGATAATAAAACGGTGTTACAACGTTTATACGCGTAAATCGAGCGTAAAACGATCAGTATATATATACATATATATATATGTGTATATATATATATGTATGTATACATATATGTGTGTACGTGCGTCTGTATACATATGTATGTGTATGTATATGTATATACGAAGAATCCTCTAACACACAGAAAACCTTTCTCCTGAAGGAAGCAAGCAAGCAAGCAAGCGAGCGAGCGAGAAAGAGAGAGATAGAGAGAAAGAGAGATCAATCGCGTCGTTCCTCCGTGAAACCGACGACGACGTTGACAACAATAAGAGGAAGGAAAAAGAGAAAAGAAAAAAAAAATAAGAAAATAATAATAATAATAAACGAGACCAAGAGTCAACGCATTCCGTGAATAGAAATTGATTTTACCGAAGCTTACGATTCCTTTTTTTCATCGCCGTCGAAGAGAAGAGCGCGCGTTTGTTAAAAGAAAGAATAGGAAAATCATGGAGAGAAAAAAAAAGAAGTAAGAAAGGGAAGAAGAGAAAATAGGATAATCGTCATCAACAACAACAACGTAGCCCCTCCCAAGAGTGAATAAATAAATAACTAAATAAATAAATAAAATAGTCAATGCAATAAACACGCCCATTCAACCTGAATAACGGCTTCTTTCTCGAGAGCAAACATTACTATCTAATAATAAAATATTATAAATAATAATCTGCGAAAGAAATTAAGTATTATTATATCGAATTTTAATATCAGACTTTTCATTGTAACTGCCTCTTTTTTTTTACGCTTCTCCGAGACAGAAAAGAAGGAAAGAGAAGGGAAAAAGGAGAGAGATTGAGAGAGAGATGCTTGTGTGTAGGTATTATTTGGGTCAAGGAGAAGTGTCGGGAAAAGAAAATAAAAAAGGGGGGGGGAAGAAAAAAGAAAGAAAGAATGGAGAAAAAACAAACCAAACCAAGAAGAAAACGAAAACGAAACAGAAAAATATCAAGTTCTGCTGTAGAGGAGCCCTCCCCTATTTAGCGTTCTGTTTCACAGCAAAAAATAGCTGTTTAGCTAGTTTGTAATGTGGTTGTACATTTTCATACGCCCTTTGTGTAAACTATTATCGATTGCTGTGGTATATAAATAATAACAGAATAAACGACTCTGTACCCTACTTTCAAATCGTCCGCGAACGATTTCGCCTATGTATGTATATCCTCATTATCTCTTTTTTATTTTTTTATTTTTTTTTTTTCGTCAACCACCTCTCTCATCGGCGCATACTCGTGAAGGATAATCCTCCCTCCACCACCACCACCACCACCACCACTACCATCATCATTCATCGTAACCACTAACAAGTCCCTTTAGTTCTAATCGACTCGACCGATGGTGAATTTCATACCTCAGTTGGAAATATTTAATGTTAGATCGAAACAATTATTTCTTCTAATAAGACAGATTTGGATTCATCTGTGAAAATTATATCTTGCATATATTTGATCTCATGATGAATAAAAGAAAAAAAAATAAAAGAAGAAAAGAAAAAAAAGAAACGGACATAAAGTAAGACGACTTTACGCGTGCTGCGAGAAAGCGAAACAAATAGTGTCAATGATCGTGAATGTGACCTAAATGTCCTAAATTACATATCACTTTGTGTTTCGGAATAATTCGATGCTCTTTCTGACTTAGATCACTTTCGTGATTATTGACTTAATTCGAAATTAAATGCAAATACTGAACGACGGCGATCAGTAATATTTATATTTAAATATTATAGTAATAGAGAATCGACAATTATATATATATATATATATATATATATATATATATATATATATATATATATACAGCGTGTACTCTTTTTATCGATTTATGCGAATGAAATTCTTAAAAAACAATTAGAAGTTACAATTATAAAAATGAACATAACCTAAGTATGAAGAGATACATCAACATAGTTTTTTTTTTTTTTCTTTTTTTTTTTTTTTAAATATCGCTGAAAATAATGATATTCGTCTGAATCGATTACAATAGGATATATTGTATTTACATGATGCAAAGATTAATTAAGTAAAATGGAATTTGATAAAAGGGTAATGATCGACGACACCGTAAGTATGTATGTATGTATACGCGAAAAAATTTCCAACTTGTAATAGAGGCTATCAACAAAAGAGTGAACTTGATCCAACGCATATACTTTCTTCGATATCGTCAATATATCGGGGAGAAATTAAACAGTCGCGAGTAAAATTCACATATAAAAAAAACTCATAATAATAATAATAATAATAATAATAATAATAATAATAATAATAATAATAATAATATAATAATAATAATAATAATAATATTGATAATAATAATAATCAAAAAATTTGTGAATGTATAAAAGATCGAGAAATAGTCTCATTTAATTACAAGATACGTTGGGTGTGTGCGTAATGTTACGCGATCACGATATCAAAGGCGTTTGATGATTAACTGTCGAGATTAATCTAGGAACATGCAGATGTGAAATTGCAACTATTAACTTTAATTATGACTATTAACTTGAACAATCGTTATGTTTTTCCTTCTTTGGTAATATTAGTTATCTTAAATATGTAAAAATGGCGGCAGTCGGTACCAATTCTTCCAGAATTCAGATTCTTTTTTCCAACCAATCCCACTTGAAACGTTAAAAGATAATTATTATATATTGAGGTCATTACACGTTGAAGTTTTCTCTAATAACCCATTCCAATTTTTAAATGGGAATATATTAATTATTAATAACGAATAAATTATTCCATACTTTTTCTTTAAGCGACTGAAAAAAAATAAATATTGTTAATTCTAAAACGTATCCTCGAAGATCGTAAAAAGTACATTTTTGATATGATATATCTTCGATCTGAGAATTAGGCAGAAAATTTTGATATTAGTTTATTGTGAACGAGGATTCGTGTAAATTTTGTATCGAGTGAATTTTCTTATATCATTTATGAGGTTATGTACGCTCCATACATTAAGAGAACTTATTTTTCTTTCTTTCTTTCTTTCTTTCTTTCTTTCTTTCTTCTTTTTTCTTTTTTTTTTAACATTTTCTGCACTCGTATGCGAATCATATCATGATTCTCATATATGAAATAAGTAGCGATAAATTATCTAAATTATCATTGAATTAATCGATAACGTTATTGATAATCAAGACTTTGTAAGTCTTATTTCAAGAAGATTGCGAATTATTTTTTTACTTACATATTATTTCTAAAAGCGTTTTCTTCGTCTTAAATTTTCATTTCTTTATTCACTCGTTATATTTTCGATTTATCATATTGGTCAGTCGATCTTATCTCGTCTGTTCTAATCGATTTATGCTTCTACTATCCTTTCTCTCTTTTTCTCTCTTTTTCTCTCTTTCTCTCTCTATTTCTCTTACACATGTACACACATACACAGCACGCGACGGACCGTTCGAAGGATATGAGCTCTTAACGTACGTCACTGCAATATAAATCGTTAGATCGAAAACTTCGATCGATTCTTTTGTGTATCGAGTTAGCGTATACGTATACTCGATGGATCGTGATTAAAGATTAATCGTAACCCTTCCTACGAACGAGTACTGGCTTAAGTCTGAAGACTTTGACGCGTTTGTTGTGTTGTTTCGATTAATAATCTATTTCGGACCACGCGCGTTCTTACGCTCTGTATTGCAACAAGTACGGTTATACATGGGTCTAGTGCCCTTCTTTTTCTGTAAAAGTAAACATTTTAAAGCTACAAATAAACGGACTATAAACGTCTGCTCTTTGTTACACTTTATTGCTAATAAGTAGAAATGGAAAGGAATGAAAAACATTCATTCTAGTAAAATACCAAGCATAAAAGTAAATAAATATTACTATGAATACAACGAGAGAATTGTTTTTATTTAAAAGGCATAATTAAAATTTAAGATGTTTTATTTTTATTTACGTCTGTACAATATATTGAATAATTTTAGAATATTTCTTGTTTATTTATCTTTTTTTTTTTTATCTTTTTTATTTTATTTCTTAAATAGAATCATATATTTCTATTAAACTATTTTTTATTTCATATATTAAACATTCGATAATATTCGGTGGTTTTATCTATTTATCTATCGTGATAAATTTAGAGTGCAGAAACATATGTCTTGTTTCTATAGATTAAAATTCGCAAATTCGTGTAAGCTGGTTTTATTGGCACAAATCGTAACAAATTATGTTTTATCGATATGTCATAACCAGCTATCAACAAGAAGGCTACTTCTCCTGTTATTTGAAGAGTTGAGCTCTAAAGATACGTACAATCTGTATAGTTTCACTTCTTATTTACAAAATCTTCTCCCTTCTTGATATTCTTTTTTAACTCTGGAATAGCAGCCTCTAGTAATTTCTTTTCGTAAGCATTAAGGTCACCATATCCCATAACTTTTTCAACTCCACTTTTCTATGACATTAAGAGATTTTATTTTAGTAACAAATATATATTAAAAATGAGAGTAAAGGAATTCTACTTACACCCAAGAGAACAGGAGATGAGAAATATTTAGTATTGCAGATATCGGACCTAACGTAAGAGCATTCAACTATTCCCTGTTGTCCTTTCAAAGCTTTGAGTAGTGAGAGAGTAAAGCGAGCTCCAGCATATGCCATTGATAAAGTAGCCGAGCCAGTACCAGCTTTTGCTTTTACAACTTCTGTACCAGCCTCCTGAATTCTCTCTGAGAGTTTCTTTGTTTCACTTTCAGAAAAAGAAACACTGGGTTTAGTTTGCGAAAGCAGAGGAATAATGGTAATGCCACTGTGTCCTCCAATTACTGGTACTACTACTTCTTGTGAATTTAAACTCTAAAGAAATGACATTTATCAATTTATTGCTTTTATTATATAATATGTGTTTAAACAATCTTTACCTTGGCTTCGCCAACGAATGCACTTGACCTGACAATATCGAGAGTAGTTACACCGAATACTCTCTTAGGGTCAAATACACCAGCTTTTTCTAATGTTTCGCAAGCAATAGGTACAGTACTGTTAACTGGATTAGAAATGATGGCAATTAATGCTTTTGGGCATACTTCTGCAGCTGCTGCAGCAAGATCACGTACAATAGAGGCATTTGTATTGAATAAGTCATCCCTTGTCATTCCAGGTTTTCGAGGTACACCAGCAGGAATTACTACGATCTGGAATAATATTTATGATTAATTATAATTTTTTATCTGTATAATTTTAACAATAATAATTTTAATTTATTTATTTATTAGAATTTATATACCTCTACACCTTTTAACGAATCTTTTAATTGGCTTGGACCTACATAACCCGTAACTTTTGAAGGTGTATCGATATGAGAGAGATCAGCAGCGACACCAGGTGTGTTAACTATATCGTATAAAGATAATTCGGTGACGAGAGGAGATTGTTTTAGCAGTAGTGCCAATGGTTGCCCAATTCCACCACTTGCTCCCATAACGGCGACCTTGACATCGCGCTGTGAATATGTACCAAAATTACAATAAATACATGAAGTAATCATTTTATTCCACGATCTCTTTTCATAGTACATACTAGTTCACTTCATTTTTTTCAGTATCCACTGTTTGAAAATATATAAATATGATACGAGTCTCATCGTATTCTTTCTTTTTTGCTTGACTCACGGGATTGGGATTATTCATTGCTTTAATCACTGTATCCGAAATTTAGAAAATTAACAAATGGATGATATTTGATTGCGTAACAATTTTTTCTTACCATTTTTTTTATATAAAAATCTACGTAACATGCGAAATAATGTTAATCAAGAAAGTAATGTTTGTTGAGGTTAGATTCGTATAGAATCGTGTCTTTGTCTAAACCGTAAATGAGAAAATAGAAATTTAGAGGTGTTTTAATTATTTGCTTAAAAAAATTTACCCTGGTGCTCGTTGAAAATCTTTTTGCTCCTTGCTGAACAATATTTAGAGTTGGTTTTAAAAAACGGGGCAGCATTTTTGCTTGATTATTGATAAAATTTAAACGATTTTAACAAACGAACGATACCGATGATATAAATGATGTCGAATATTCAATAACCCTCGTCAAAGACACACTCGTGACCTTCGGGTAATGATTCTAACTCTCTTCAGCTCTACTTCCACAGCCTGGCAACGTGCAATAATCTTTGCAGCCAGAGTATAGTAAATCGGACGGACATGCGCATTACGTTCGTATGTAAAATGGTGGACGATAAGCGCCAATATACGAATTGATTGACACATGTCATAACTGTTCAAACTGAAATGTTTATTTTTTTGAAGAAAACGTTATATTCACTCGTTTATTTGTTACTTTTATCTTTTTCTTTTATTTCTCTGTCTTCGAATATTACTATTTAATCAAAATTTTGATCGTCCCCATTCTTATAAAATTAAAAAGCGCCACCTTATCGTATAATTGATTTTCATTTACTGTAATATATCGAAGTTTAAAAACATTGCGCAGTATAATGTGAATTCGTAGCATTGTGATACTGATAAGACACGATTTATCTTCATTTGCTCAAAGAGAATCAATAAATCAATAAATTCTTTTACTTATGGAACTTTCCAACGACACGTGCCGTTCATTGTTACTCGAAGCATATTATTGAACGATCGTTCTCATAATACAGAATAAATTGTATCGAATACGAACTCTTTCGATCAGATTTTTTATATTGTTTAATTTACAAATTAGTTTAATGTCATCGCGATTTGCTGTTGTGCGTTATTATCTTTTATGTCGATATTAACGGTCGATGTTACTTGACCGACTGAAATACTGCTTTCAGTTAACTTCCTGATACATCCAATATAATTCTTTAGCGCACTCTATCATAAAATTTTAAAAAAGTAGCGAACTAATATACGTTATATTGTGTCTTCATCTAACGTATATATTCTACAACTATATAATTTGTAGTTCAAATTCTTAACAATATCGGCGCCACGATCTGTTTCCTTTGACGAATAGTCGATAATATCGTATGCGACATAATTGATGTGAAATACGAAAGTTGAAAATGATCAGTTTTAAAAGAGGACATGCCTAGATTTAACTTCTCATTCTGGCTATTCGATTATATAATATTTTCAAATCACTTTCGGTCAAATAATATATTTGGACATACTTGATTGGAATCAAAATAATTTCAAGATTAAATGATTTTACGTAAATCAAAAATATAATTTAAATTTCAATTAATTATTAAATTAATTTCAAAAATTTACACATTCGTTAAAATAAATATTTCGTGATTTGCATACATGGAATATATCATTGACATCTCTTTAACATGTCTATTCTAATGTCTTATTGGTCTCCAAAAAGGATTCAAAAGTAAGATGAAAAGAAGAAAATTTATGTAAGAGAGATTATTCTTATACTTGTTCATTACAGAAAGAATGAAACGATTAGAGTATACGAAAGAACAGGAGCGAGCAGAATTGTGATAAAGAAACGAATATGCAGCGTGGCGAGAGAGTTACGCGTTGTAAGTGAGTACGAATAGAGAATCCATGGGATCTCGGAGCGCACCTGCATCGTTCTTGTATGCTGGCGCCACATAGTAGGAAACGCGTGAAACATACGGAAAGGGGGCTTTGCGCTTTCGTCCGCTCTCGGCGTCGTTCGTGCGGTCAGAGACACGAGAGAGCGATACACGGCTCGTCGAGCGAACAAGACGCGGTGCAAGAAAGACAGAGATAGAGAGAAGAAAGAGGGAGAGAGAGAAAAAGAAAGAGAGAGAGAGATCATCGAGTTCGGCGATGGTGGGGATATTTTGCGAACAGTTGCTGCTTCCTCGATTGCAAAGAGAGGGGGAAGTTAAGCGAGAGGAAGCGAACGAACGAGCAACCAAGGAGTGGGGCGCGGGGAAAGAAGAGAGAAAGACCAAACGAGCGAGAGAGAAAGAGAGAGAGAGAGAGAGAGAGAGAGATAGATAGAAAGATAGAGAGAGAGAGAGAGATCGTCGAGCGTGCACAGCATGAACGTCCAGTAGTGGCATGTCTCAAACACTCGACATGCTCGTAGCTGGTGCGAGCTGTTAATACTCGTCAAAAGTATAAAACCGTTGCTACATTATATCGCAGTATATTAAATAAATTACTACGTTATTCCTCAAGAAATTCTATGTACGTAAGTACATACGTATATAGAACGTACGTGATCTCGACCGTGGTTTTGTTCGACGACGTCAAGAGTAGTACGTGGAAGTTCGAGATAGTAGCAGCAAGTGGTGCGACCCGAAGCGAAGTTAGTAGTCGAACGATCGAGAGAGAGAGAAAGAGAGAGAGAGAGAGAGAGCAAGAGAGAAAGAAAGAAAAAGAAAGAGAGAGAGAGAGAGAGAGAGAGAGAGAGAGCGGATTCGCGTTTTTTTTCGAGAAGCCAAGAGAAAAGGTGCCTTCCAGATCGACGTCGGTAGAACTGGTGGTATCTTTGGAATTCGACGGTCGTGCAGTGTGTGTATATATATGAGGGACAAGAAGAAAGGGTAAAAGAGTGGGAGAAGGTGGAAGAGAAAGAGAGAAAAAGGGGTGGGGGAACGGAAAGGAGAAGAGAAGGTAGTGAAGGAGGAGGTGGAGGTGGGGCAGGGGCAGAGAAGGGAAGAAGAGCGAGTACGGTGAAATGTGCTTCGCGGCGGCCCCTTGGAAGCTGGTGATAGCGGCGCGCATCGCTTAAAGCAGGTCGCGAATTCTCGATGCCGCTGGCGGCTACCGCCGGTCTACACTGCTGTGAAACTCGCTTCGCGTCGTCCCGTCTTGACGTCGCGTAAAAGTCAACGGATTCATCCGAAGAACATTCATTCTGTCGAGAGATAGACTTTTATTCTCTCTCTCTCTCTCTCTCTCTCTCTCTCTCTCTTTTTCTCACTGTCTGTCTGTCTTTTTCTGTCTCACTTTTTTTTTACTGTCAATCAATCTGTTTGTATTTGTCTGTCTGCCTGTCTATCTGTCTATCTGTCTATTTCTCTCTCTCTCTCTCTCTCTCTCTCTCTCTCTTTCTCTCGCTCGCTTGCTCACTCTCGTACACTCTCTCTTTGATTCTCGTGTGCATACATTCGGGCAATGATACGCGCATGCTCCTCGTATGACGAGGGTCGCATTGATGAAACGCAAGAGGATGGGATATTCTTCGTTTAATTAAAAAGTGTGTTCGAATAGCGCGGCGTGTCCCGGCACCGGTTCACGACTACTATGTGCTACGTTGACCTCGTTGTTTTGACACTATTATCTTCGTGCGAAAAGTCATAAGGCGAGGAGAAAGAAAAGAAAGGAAGGGAGGAAGGTCAAGAAGAAAGAGAAAAAAGAAGAAGAGGAGGAAGAAGAAGAAGAAAAAGAAGAAGAGGAGAAGGAGGAAGAAGAAAAAGAGGAAGAGGAGAGTCAAAGAGCGTAAGGGAGAGTCAAAGAGACTCGTACGCGAAGGAGGATGACGCACTGCTGCCACACCGCCCTTTCTTCTTTAGCCGTCGTCTCCGTCATCGTCTCCGTCGGCTTCATTGCCACCGGTATCGTCGTCATCGCCATCATCGCCTCCGCGTTCAAACCGTGGACTCGTGCTTAAAGACGTGCGTGAGTGAGTGCGTCGTACGTCGTACGTAGTGCATGCGTGCATGCGTGCGTGCGTGCGTGCGTGCGTGCTCGCTCGCTTTCAGTCACGAATAATAATAATAACAATAATAACAATAATAATAGTAAGAGGAAGAAGAAGAAGAAGAAGAAGAGGAAGAAGAAGAAGAGAAGAAGAAGAAGAGGAAGAAGAAGAAGAAGAAGAAACAGAAGAAGAAGAAGAGAAGAAGAAGAGAACGAAGAAGGTGACGAAGAGAAACGCAGTGTCCGGCCGGCCCCGTACATATTACGATCGATGCGCCGAGCGGAGGCGCGCACGCGCGCGCTCCGATAAATCATACAAACTATTGCGCGAGAAGGAGAGAACGGTATCGGTGCCTCGGTGATCAAACCGACAGAGACCCGAATATCGTCGTCTTAGTTTTGCAATCGGGTTGTCGTTTCTTTTTTCTCTCTCCTTTTTGTCCCTCCTCCCCACTTTTTTCTCCTTTCTTTTTTTCTTTCTTTAAAAGAAGAAAAAATAAAAAAAAAGAAAAAGGGAGAACTCTTAAGGATTCGGAGGGAACTCACTGGCCGCCGGCAGCCGGCCGGCTGCGCTCTAAAGAGCGCTGGAATTCCGCTCGAAAGGAATCCGAAGGCGGAGACTTTTGACGTCACTTGGCTCATGATAATGAAGTATTCATGATGGCGGAGTAGCAAGGAATATATACATAGTGCACGTGCGCGTTCGGTCCTCGTGTTTTTCTCTCTCTCTCTCTCACTCACTCACTCACTCTCTCCCTATCTATCTGTCTATCTATCTTTCTCTTATTTTCTGTGTTGGTGTGAGTGCCTCCGATCGTCCTCATCGCCATACGACGTCGTCGTTCTCCTCGTCGCAGACCGAGCGCGTATCGCCGTCTACGTCGCGCTTCGCCGACGAGCAACGAGTCGCTCTTCCCCCACTTCGAGTGCTCGTACTCGCGGCGAACTACCGAGTGGCCGTACCCCCCACTCCACATTTCGTTTTCGTTGTTGCCGCCGTCGCCGCAGCCGTCGCTGCCGTTGCCGCTGTCGCTGCTGCTGTCGCTGCTGCCGTCGCGTCGCATCGCGTCGCATCGCGTCGTCGCCGTCGTCGTTGCTGTCGTCGTCGTCGTCGTCGTCGTCGTCGTCGCGCGACCGGCCGCTTGCGGCTCCCCCCCCCTTCGACAGTTTGCTCTTTCCCCACCCTAGCTCGTCATCTACCACCCTACCACCCTACTACGCTACACCCTCTCCGTCTCCCTCTCTTCCACCCCCTTCCCTCTCTCTCTACTTCCCTCCCTCCCAATCCCTCTCTCTCGTTCTATCTCTCTCTCTTTCTTTCTCTCCGCGTCGCGCCGTCGTCGCAGCGGCGTATATGTGTGCGCGCGCCTCTTTCGAGCGTGTGCTCGCGCGCGCACGGAGATATGCGCCCGTCGACCGCCGCCGCTCGGTGATAGAGAGTTTTGGATGGATTTAGAGCGCAGTGAAATATGCCAAGGAGACGGAATGGGGAGATACCGCTACCGGAAGGGTGGGACGTCGCGCAGGATTTCGACGGGAAGGTTTACTTCATCGATCACAACACAAGGAAGACTACGTGGATCGATCCTAGGGACAGGTACGTCGTCTCTTCTTTTTCTTTTACATTCTTCTTCGTTTCTCTTTCTATTTTATTCTCTCTATTCGCGGAAGCCTACCGTTTACTTTTTATAACTATCTTTTTTTCTTTTTCTTATTCCTCTCTCTCTCTCTCTCTCTCTCTCTCTCTCTCTATCTCTTACACACACACACACTTTCTCTCCCTATTTTTCTCTTTTTCCCTGTTTTATCTTTTTCTCTTTTTTCTCGCACCTTTGAAAACATAGATTCGAGCGAATTCGAGTAAAATGAAATAGATAGAGAAGTCAAAGATACGAGGCAAGTACTGTTGCAAGTAAGTACGTACGCGCCCGTAAGGCGCCCATGCGAGAGAGCGCGTGTGTTGTTCGCGCGTGTATTCGCGCGCGCAGCTATCCGTACCACACCGGCGCGAGTCGCCGCGCCCGCATTCCAAGCGCCAGGGCCGCCGCACAGCCGCGAGCGCCGCGCAGCGCCGCGAAAAACGCGAGAAATCTGCGCTGATCAGGATCGGCCCGTTCTTCTTTCTCTCTCTCTCTCTCTCTCTCTCTGTCTCTGTCTCTGTCTCTGTCTTTTCCTCTCTTCTTCGTTGCCATCTTTCTTTATATTTTTACTATCTCTGCGGCTCTCTTTTCTTGTTTGTCATCTCTCTTTCTCTCGCTCTCTTTTTCTCTTTCTTTTTCTCTTCTCTGTTGCCATCTTTGTCTATATTTTTACTATCTTTGTCTCATTTTTCTTGTTTGGCATCTCACTCGCTCTTTTCTTTTGTCATCTCTCTCTCTCTCTCTCTCTCTTTTCTTTTGTCATCTCTCTCTCTCTTTCTCTCTCTCTCTCTCTCTCTCTCTCTCTCTCTCTCTCTCTTTTTCTCTTTTTCTCAACTGCGTCGAGCGTATTTCTTAGCGAACGAATTTCTCGATACAGGTAAGCGACGCACGATGCTTGACATTTCGATTTCCCGAGAGTAAGTACTTAGTCACATTGGTTCTCTGACATTGATAGCATTCTCATAGCGTTGCATATATGCCTTGAAGTTGGCTACGCGAGGATGCGTTCTCTCGTCCATCTCTTCGTCGTCGTTGCGACGAAGCGAAGCGTGCATTCGTCCGTCGTACTTACGTACTTACGTACGTACGTACGTACGTACGTACCAACGTACATACGTACATACGTGCGTGCGGGAATCTCGCGTTGGTGTTTACGAACCTGCTTGGAATTTCTCGTGGCTTGGACGGCAAGCAGAGAGCGGCGAGAGTAGCGAACCTAGCGCCGACCCTCCACCACCACCATCACCATCACCATCACCATCACCATCACCATCACTATCACCACCATTACCATTACCTGTACCCTGCTACTACTTCACCATGACTACACTCACTTATATAGATATCGTTAAATATCCTGGGCTTTCGGAATTCTCGCGGAATGCAGAAAAGACGGGTCACAGTGGAGCGCGCGCGCGCGCACCCGCGGAGAAGATTCGCGCGAACGATTTCGAAATCTTATCGGTCTTATTGGAACGTATGTCTGAGATAAAATCACATACTGAATTCTTTTTCTTTTCTTTTTTTTTTTTTATTATTATTATTATTACTACTATTGACCTTCCATGAGGTTGTACAAGGTTGTCATTTTGGACGTTTCAATTATTTAATCATCAGTTTAATGTACTTTATATAAATTAAGAGAAATTAGTCATGGTTTTTATCGATTCTTCCAATCGAAATATACTTTCTTTTATGAGAGTGAGAGAGAGGGAGAGGGGGGGATGGAGAAAGAGAGAGGAGACGAGAAAAGGGATATTTCTTTAAGAACGGGTTTTTTTTTCTCTCTTTATAATATACAACAATATATTGTAAACATATAACAATACCGAACTGGCATTATTAATAATCCATTTTATTTAATCATCCGATGGAAAGTTATCAACCTTTTTTTTATCCAGCCGTTCTTACGAGAATTATTTTCTTTTTTTAAACTTCATCCTTACAACCAATAATATTATTTGATCGATTTATAAATCTATTTGTTAATGCTATTGGACAATTAAAAATATGATTTTTAGATATCGAAACGGAGTCTTATATAGGACGGAAAAGAACCAGAAAGAGAAAAAGAGAAAGAGAAAGAGAAAGAGAAAGAGAAAGAGAGAGAGAGAGAGAGAGAGAGAGAGAGAGAGAGAGAGAGAGAGAGAGAGAGAGAGAAATATGTCGCTCACCGATCACATTGCTTTTAGAAAGTAACGTTCGAATGCGCCTCCTATGTTTGCTTTTTAAAGTTTAAGTCGTATCTATCTCTCTCACTTATATTATTCGAGTCTCGTCGAGGACGTTATAGACTGTTACATAGTTCTCGTTAGATCGTACTGACATCGTCCCATTAAATTTCATGCATTCGAACGAGCGTAATAATCTCTTTTCGGAACGAAGATCGTGGCCTTTTAAGTTTGTTGTCCGTCTTTGACGTTAACGAGACATAAAATAATTAACAAAACTAATATGGCCATTATCAGACGTGATTTATATGATAACGATTTGTTAAATTTATCCTGCAGATAGGTTATTAACCTATAGAATGAATGAAATATCGTATATTTATAATTTAACGTCGTAAATAAGCGGCTACCTTAATCGTCGTCCGTTTACAATTATTGGAAATTTGGATTCAGATGATTATTATTCAATCGTCAATTTATTCACGATCGAACGTTTAAAGATATGATCGAAAGAATGAGAGAAAGAGAGAGAGAGTGAGAGAGAGAGAGAGAAGAAATATAAATTCGAGTGATTCCTTTTTCTCTTCTTTTTTTTTTTTCTCTTTTTTAAAAAGAGTAAAGTCACGATCGTGGCCTTGCAGTATTTAAATTTCGACGTTTAAGCGAACGTATCGAACGATTGAATTCGTTGGATCGTATTGGTCGTCAAGATTGTCCGGAAGAAGCGGCGATTAACCACCCGCCGCTTTCACTTTCGATGTTCTCGCGCGGAGGCCTCGTCTACGCGCACGCCTCATCCTGGTATATGCATTTAGTATAAAGGATAAATTTTGTTGGCCCTTGATACAAAACTTTTACCGACGAAAATATATCATTTGGTCGTTGGCAAAAATTCGAATTGAAAAATATAAATTATTCCCGTACTTTAATTATCAGATGGAAGTAATTTGAATTCAAATGAATTTACTTATCTTTTAATTATTGATTTATATGATGGAATTATTAAATCATATGATTGAAAATATCGATATTTAGATTCGATCGACTTTTAAAAATCTAGTCAGCGATCGAAACTTAATAATATTCATAGTTATTGTTTTTATTTATTTGTTTTAATTTTACTTTCTTTTATTTTTTCTTTCATTCTTTTAATTTTCCTTTGTTTCCTTTATAATCGTTAAGAGTAAATATATCCTAAACGAATAATATACCGGATCGATATAATTAATTGAACGTCGAATAAAGACGACGTTCTCGACGAAAAAGAGAGACTACTACCTGGTGGGATCGTATTTCGTAGAAACGCAAGCGTATTTCTTGGAAACCGAATTCCTATCCTGACTGACACGGTTCACTTTAGCAAAAATAATCATTTAACAGCGAGTAGAGTCGGTGATGGGACAGTAGCGACTCACTGTTGTTACCTACGTTAAGAGGATTCTCCATTTGTTCGTTATTCTCTTTGTACAAGCCGACGGTCCTGCGTTCTCGTCGTGTGTTCGTTTTGTTGGTCAATTTGTAACCCGTCGTTTGTCGATGTGAAAAAAAAAAGTATGATTTACGACTGGTACGTCATAAATCCAGCGCACGAGAGCAGAAACCGAGATAGTCGAATGTCGGCTAGTAGATTTTAAGATACCAATGCTTGAACCCTTTCAAATGGTCCCGCGATACCATCGACATTTTTCCACTTTTTCGTTCTCCTCCGATTAAGAAACTGCGAGATCGATCGATTTGATCGATACGAATTGTATTCATATCTCTTTTTCTTTTCTTTTCTTTTTCGAATGAATATATATATATATATATATATATATATATATATATATATATATATATATGTACGTAGATGTAATATATTAAGAAATTCGAACAAATTGATCGTAAAAATTTTCCTTTTTTTCTTCCTTTTTTTTAAATCGTAATTGTCGTGACACTTAATATAACTTTCCATTCGATATGTTTGAACGTAGATTTATGCATGTACGTACATACATACATAGATAGATATGTACGCACATATCTTTCTCCCTCTCTCTCTTTCTCTCTCTCTCTCCATAAGCAAGTGTAAAAAGAGAGATTCGATTGGAATCGAACTAGGTAGGAGCATGACGGAAATGTAAAATATCTTTATGAACATAAGTTTTCTTTAAGTGTAGAGTTCACTGTCGAACTTGTATCCTGAAATTTTGTGATCCGACCAGTAGATGGTGCTCGTCGGTGTACGGCCGCCTTCGAAGAGGATGGAGGAACGAGATCGGCGTATATAACGCATGCCTTCCTCCTTCCTCGGAGCCTCGAGTTCCATCGCGGAGGTGTCTTTCGTTCGAACACACGGCAGCACACGACCGATACTTGCATGGCTACGTTCGTCCTCGTAGCCCCGTGGGCGGTAGAGTAAACGCTGTGCATCTCTCACAGCCAGTTCCTCCTTTCTTCTCTGTCTTTCTCACTCTACACCTTCATATAGTGTGCATATATATATATATATATATATATATGTATATACGTATATATGCGTATTCGTATGTACGTATGCACGTAAATACGTATGTACGTAAATATGTATGTATGTATATATGTATATATGTATGTATGTAAGTATGTATGTAAGTATGTATGTATGTATGTATGTATGTATGTATGTATGTATGTATGTATGTATGTATGTATGTATGTATGTATGTATGTATGTATGTATGTATGTATGTATGTATGTATGTATGTATGTATGTATGTATGTATGTATGTATGTATGTATGTATGTATGTATGTATGTATGTATG